TTATTAACAAAGTTATAGTTTTGGATCCCATGGCATCATCCCATCACCTTGGTACATAGTCATCCTTTTTATAATTGGCACGATTCATTTTTCAATAGAATCACACGATTTCCTCAGAGCTCATTTTCCCCATATCAGCAATGCGGCAGCCTTTCTTCTTGCTGAAACGCCACACTATTTGGTGAGTTTCATTTTTCTTACTAACAAGAAGGTTTACTGAACTTTTAGTAATGATGGTTGTATTTATATTAAATAAGGTTGTGGGAGGAGCTTACGCTTTATCGCATTTTGCCTTCCATTTATAATCGATCCTTGCCCAAAAGTCTTCCACAAATACCCTTAAATTCACACTCACTACCCAGGCGCTGCTTAGATTAAGTAAAATGCTCTTCTTTATTGTATTTAATTAGTGTCCTCTTCCAATATGATCCTACTTTGCATGCTGAACCTGATCCCCTTACTCGGGGGCATCGCAAAGGACTTAATTAAGATTATTGCTTAAATTCAGTAATTTGCACTAATAATACCTAACGCGCGTCGTTTCGTATTACAAAAGTGTAAATCAATTTGAGATAACTGTAGAAACTATGACATAATCGAGGCAAAATTAACAACAAAATGAGCCTAACATGAGTAAATTAGAATCGAAAATGGCATTGGCCTATGGGAGAACTGGATTTAACCTTTATTCTGAAAACCATAAATGCTTAATAATATTGGCTTAGTTAATAATATAATGTATTTAAATTGAATACGAAGTGACCTATCATAATCACACCGCTTTTAAATGGCTTGTAGCAGATGGGTAATGAGGTAATAGAACAAAATTTACATTCAATAGTCCAGTTTATCTAACGTTTACTTAGACCTAAGCTTCGCGTCTCTGATATGCATGGCTATAGTTGAATCTTCATTTATAATCGTTTATTTGTAATGCTTTCTCATTCGTATTTTGCTTTGGGTCTCGCCAACCATCACTCTTAGTGCCAAAGCCTAGTATATGGTGGAAAAAATTGTTGCCTCTTATTCTTTTTGATTTTCTTTACTTCCAAACCCTTCCCCTTATATTATTCCTTCTTTTTTGCAACCTGCTTGATTATCGCTCTCCTAATATGAGACCACACATGTAATGAGGATAAATTTTTTTAATATTTGTCAATACATTTGCTGCTCTACTCCTTATGGTTACTTCAAAGCAATTTCTATTTGATAAATTGCTCTAATGCATACATTACAATATTTTTGTTTTTTAAGACTCCATCACTCTCCTATTTCAGCCATAATTATTTATTTCTTATGCGATTGCCCTAATCAGGATTCTCAGTATAAAAATCCGGTGGATGAGGGAAAAAGTGATTCCGCACAGGCATCTAAAGACCCCTTGCTTGATATCAGCACGACTAGACGAGCCGACATGACATCAAGCTCACTCTGGTCCAATGCGGATGGAGATCCATCTCAGCGCCTCTCAACGTTTGGGCAACCACGACGCAATTCATTTGAGCTGCAAGGTAAATTAGAATATTTATTCTGCCTCCTCTATGCTCACTTGATTCTTTTCTTTCACAAAGACCGAATTATAGCTCTTTTTATTACTACATAAATTGTGTTGATGTACCTATTCCACATGATTACTACTTTCCTCCTGGAGCATTATATATATATATATTTCTCTGCAGAGAGAAAGGCAGAGACAGAGAGACACATTGGTGGCTGATAAGCTGTCATATCTAGCCTTTTTATTAGAATGATTCATTATTCCTTCGGGCGCCTTTCGCTAAATAACTTTTATATTAATCATTCGTTCGCCCATTTAGAGCTAAGTGTTCTTGATTTATCACCATATAAAGGAATATTAAATTTTCTTAGTCATTGACAGCTCCTTTTTGTATACAAGCTATTTATGCAAGGGACAGAATTGGATGAGTAGTCAACGTCGTTTTAACTCGCGTAGTTATGGTATTCGACTCAATAATGTTACCTAGACCTTTATCTGCCACTAAACTTGATATACTATTCAACTTTGTTCGTT